ATAGCTTCCCTTCTTTTTAATGCATGTAAAATAGTGTATATTACTGTTTATAACTATATTACATTTATTTGTTTACTTTAACATTTATCATCAATTAAAACAAACAAAATAACAACTACAAAAAGGAACCAAAAAAATACAAATATAACAGTCCAAACATTTGGGCCCGAAACAGCAACAAAAAAGTGCATTTGTAAGCCGTTTGTACTAAGCACAGCCGAATTTGTACAGAGCAATAGTTTTTGACATAATAATATCATTTAACATCCTATAATTTTGGTTTTTTTTCCCTCTCTAGAATCCTCATTTCCCTTTATTTTATATTTTATTTAAATTTTTTCTCCCCTAAATATGTTTCGGTTCATTTTTTCTTTGTTTTTCCCTAATTTATTGTTTTGTATGTTGCATATTATTGTAATTAGATCAATTCTAAAATACATTTATTTTTCCTTTTTATATTTTATTTTTAACATATTATAACCATTATGTGGTAATAAATTATTATCCTAATATGTTCTTTCCAAGCAGATTTGGTCATTTCCTATCTCCATATTATACTGCAACAGTTGAAAACCAATCGTTATCTGCTCTATCTCATAGCAAAGCATCATTTCTATATATAGTCTGATTTGGTTAGCTCAAATTTGCTATTTACACAGCGTTCCAGGTATTATTAAAATTTTATATCTTTATTATTTCAATATTTATTTATGTGATTAGATACTGTAACGCCCTCTAGAATTAAACATGTTTCATTATGCTAAACTGTGGATTATTAGTGTGCCTAATTTGATTTTCATAATTAATCAAGGGACTTTAAGTTATTTTCAGTATTTATAATTTCACCCCAAAGATTTTTGGAAAACACACTTAAATTTAATACATTTTCCCTTTTTTCCATTTTTCTTTTTCTTTTCTTTTTCTTTTTTTCTTTTTTCTTTTCTTTTTTTTTTCTTTTCCCCATTTCCTTCCCGTGCGCCCAACCCCCCATTCTCTTTCTTTTTCTTTTTTTTCTTCTTCTTCCTTCCCTGGTTCTCCCACGCACAGCCATCTCTCTCTCTCTTTCTTTCTCCATTTTCTTCCACCGCCGGCCACTTCCTTCTCCGGGCTTCCTCCCGCCGGCATCCTCTCTCTCTCCCTTGCTCTCTCTCTCCGGGTTTCTCTCTCCCTCTCTCTCTCGGCAGTTTGGCCGAGAATCTAAAAAAAA